TGTGTTGTGCAGTTTTATTTCAAAAGATATGGCAACAGGAACAGTTCATCTGTGGTGAAATAGAGACATTTATTTCCTTAATCCAAACAAAACCCTTCACTAAATGTCATAAAACAAATAATCCATGGCCTGTAGTCCATATAATGTTTCTACGGAGGATCAGCTGCTGAGTCCCTGTTTCTGGCTCTTCTGAAGGTCAGTTCCAGTAAAAACAAAAAATCTAAACCAGTCCATGGGTCACACCATGTCTACCTTAGATGAAAGAACCCAAACATAACAAGTTGCATTTTACTAATTTATTGAGCAATTGTTTCCTTTAAACAGTGACATCACTGTCATGTTTTAAATTGTTTAAACAAACAAACAAAAAAGAAAAATAATGTACCAAGCAGAGAACAAATAAAAATGTTTAAAGGCATTATTATACATTGGACAATGTCCTCCAGAAGTTCAGTGTGTGTGGTCGAGGTAACGAGCTCGTTTGGGTGAAGCATGATGTCGTGCATCTTCCCAGACTTCAGAGCTTCATTTACAGACTGGATCATTGCAGGTCTGGTGTTCCACCTCATCTCTCCACAGCTGGACCAGTCCAGAGCCTTGTGGAACCTAAAAGTGAAAGAAGACGTGCACGAGTCAAAATAGTGTTACAGTGACTACAAATTACAATCTGTTGACCTTTCTTCTGGAAAAATATTTTATCAAAAACAAGAGATTTACAATTGAAATTAAGTCAAAAAAATGTGACATTTGCAATTATAAATTACAGAAGCTCAGTTTTTCTTTATTTATTTCACTTATCATATATTATAATTATTTAATGAGCCTCACCAGGCAGAGATTACAAGATGTTATGTATCTTACCTGCTCTGTTGAAGTGTGTGACAAGGGTCTTTGTGTCCAAAGCTGTTTAACAGTTTGCTTCCAGAGCTAACAGCTTCCTGTGTTAGGTAGAAAAATCAAATTAAATTAAAGACAAACAAAAAGCTTAGTGCTACTTCTTGTGCCATGCTTTATAAAACAGTTATTGAATCAAGTATTTACTTATGTAGGTAAACATAGATGTTTTAAAACCTGTTAAAATACACCAGAATGCAGGAAATAGCAGCTACTTTTTTTTAAAAGTTATGGGGGAGGACCCACAGACCTCGCACCAATATGTCCCCCCTACAATAACCGTTATTATAATGTATGTGTAACCAGCCTTTCATATAAGAACTGGGATATTTTTACCGGAGAATGCGTGCACTTTAACCAGGAAGAGTTCGGTTGTTTTTTTTACATTCCAAACAGCAACAGATAATAAAGATTTTAACCTAAAAACCCACATAACAAAGCAGAGCATAATTTTTAAATTAAAAGGGACACGGTGGAGAAAAATGCGCTGTTTGAGTTTATTTACTGACGGTAAACAAAGCAGCTCCTCACAGCTGAGACTAAAGTTTAAAGCAGCACAGCACCAACACAACTCTCATGAAGTTCAGGGTTATTTGACACTTTCCTGCTCGTTCTGTGAGTTTAATAGACAGACAGTTACTTCTTACCTTGCGTTGCAAACTATTTTCAGTTACTCGGTACCGCTTCGCTCGCTGCTCCTCCCACCCTCTCGGTGAAAAGCTACGGTTCGAACAGTTGACTTCTGGGAAATGTAGTCCTTTTGACTTGTGTTAAAGTGAAGGCTTACTGAAAGAAAACTACAAAATAGCTGCGTCCGTGTTTTTTTTTTTTTTGTTTCATTTTCATTTTCGGTTATTGATCGGTTCCCGCTCCTGTCTGCTCCCGTTAGCTTTCAGTCCGGTCACGTCCCGGTCATGTGAGTTATAATGAGGTTGACTCCGGTCCCGCCGGAATCAACGTGACCCACGGTACTCCCGAAAAAATGTCATCCTCTATTGTGGGCAGAGTTTGTATGCAGCTGCATTTTCAGTCATTTGTCTAATTGTAAAGTGTAAAGACTTTTAACCGTGTGCCCCAGGAGCTACATTTCACTTGTTTACAGCTTTATGAACCTGACCCTTTGCCCTGGATTTATACAGCCTGCCAATGCATGGCTAACCATGACCAGAAGGTTTTCTTTTCTATCTGGAGCAGAACCAAAAGAACTTGTCACCTCTGTTATGTCACCTGTGTTATTCTACAGTTTACTTTTCATTATCTGCTTGGCTTCCTACCTCTGCGTGCTTCATGATGGGGTTTTGACTCCTGGTTTGGACAAAGAGGAACCTCAAGTTCAGGAGCTGATTAAGTCGACTTCCTTCTTTACAGGAAGTTTTGCCTTTTGCTTTAACACACTGGCAAACCTTGGGCTGCCTTGTTGGATTAACTGAGTAAAATCATCCCAGTGGCACAGAGTCAGTGGTTTACTTCTATGAAGAAAGTACAATTTAAGCAGAAATGACAAAGAATGTACTCTAGTTGCTGCTTTTGCCTCAAATCTTTTATTTGCTTCTGTTTTCAGAGGCCGGAGTGTCTTCGTCTGTACACCCCCCCATTCATCTTAGCACCAGAAAAGGACAAACAAACGGAGCTGGGCGAGACGTTTGGAGAGGCATCGCAGAAATACAACGTGCTGTTTGTGGGGTACTGTTTATCTCACGATCAGAGATGGCTTCTGGCTACGTGCACTGACCTGTACGGGGAGCTACTGGAGACCTGCATCATCAACATAGACGTACCCAACAGGTAGGGTGGATTACCAGAGGAGCTCCACACAGCTGTTATGGAGTATTTTGGTTAGTTTTTTTGTTTCTGTGCTGTTCGTAAAATGTCATAAACCGTTGGCTGAATTTCAATGAAAAGCCAAGCGAATTGATTTTTGCTAATTACCGTATTTTTCGGACTATAATGCACCGGATTGTAAGGTGCAATATCACTGAACGGGTTTGTTTTCATACATAAGGTGCACTGGATTATAAGACGCATTAAACAAAACAAAGCAGTCAGATAAGTCAAACTTTATTCAACTCATTCACAATAACCACATAAAATCAGTTCGATGTCAGTAAGCACAACCAGAATTAATACAAACCGGATTCCAAAAAAGTTGGGACACTAAACAAATTGTGAATAAAAACAATGCAATGATGTGGAGATAGTAAATGTCAATATTTTATTCGTAATATAACATAGATGACAAATCAAAAGTTTAATCTGAGTAAATGTAACATTTTAAAGGAAAAATATGTTGCTTCAAAATTTCACAGTGTCAACAAATCCCAAAAAAGTTGGGACAAGTAGCAATAAGTGGCTGGAAAAAGGAAATTGATCATATAATGAACAGCTGGAAGACCAATTAACACTAATTAGGTCAATTGACAACATGATTGGGTATAAAAAGAGCTTCTCAGAGTGTCAGTGTCTCTCAGAAGCCAAGATGGTAAGAGGATCACCAATTCCACCATTGTTGCGCAGAAAGATAGTGCAGCAATACCAGAATGGTGTTACCCAG